TCTCTCTCTCTCTCTCTCTCTCTCTCTCTCTCTCTCTCTCTCTCTCTCTCTCTCTCTCTCTCTCTCTCTCTCTCTCTCTCTCTCTCTCCCTTACCTGTTCCTTGCTAGTGTATATTGAGAGTGAGGATGGTGCGCTGTACGGTTGCCAGCATGTTGTTGGAGGGTGCGGTGATCGTGCTGTTCAAGGACAAACGAGGCAGCTTTCTTGGAGGCGGCGGTGGCGGTGGAGATGGGGAACGTTTCTGCCGTCTGTAATGGGGGATCTGACAATGGATGCCTCTGCTGACGGTGCCTTTGTGACGGCTGATCTGGCCATGAGTGTGTTGATGATAAGGTTGACGATGAAGGGGAGCCATGCGAGGTGGAGGACGAGGAAGAAAGGAGGGAAGAGGAAGAAGAGGCGGCAGATGACTGAGGGGATGATGTAGTAGGAGATAATGTCGACAAGGGAGGTGGTGGTGGTGGTGATGATGATGGTGGAAGTGATGGTGGTGGTGGTGTGGGTGGAAGTGATGGTGGTGGTGCGGGTGGGAGCGGTGGTGAGGAGGTACACTTTCAGCAGCAGGCACCGTATTGGTAGGATGCAGGCCTTGACTTTGACCCCCGGCAGCCATTACGACAACGTTCATATAGTTTGTTGCTTCTGTGGCATGGTTTCCAGCTTAGTTGGCATATCCACATTATAGCATCTGCAAAATGTCAGTAGGAAATGTAACAGGAGAGGGCGAGCCCAGTGTGTTTGTGTTTGCTTGTGTGGAGGGCTTATGCTGCCTGTGGTTGCCAAGTTCATAGCAACCATGAGATCAGCATGCAACAACCAATCTCCTATTGCTGGTAGTCTCTCTCTGCTGTGCAGCAGATGGCGCACGACAATTCTTTCAAGATGCCAATAGAATTGCTATAGGTCATCGTACCAAGCACCTCCTCAGGCTGGCTCGCGAGCTGCCAACACATTTCTTCCGCAGCTACAGCCGCAAAGTTGCCACTTCAGGCTGGCTCGTGAGCTGCCAACGCTTTTCTTCCCCAGCTACAGCCACAAAGTCGCCAAAGGTCCTGTTGATAAAAATATTAAACATCGTGGCAGTCTTCCCCAGAATGGAAATGGAGCCAGGACCTTAAGGGCCTGTTAAAAAAAAGAAAAAAGAAAACACACACACACACACACACACACACACACACACACATCGTGGCAGTCTGTCGCAAATGTTGGTACGCATATAAGTAATCGGTAAACATGTTGAAAGTCCTACCTCCTGTCGAGCATCGAAGTCTGTGGCCAGCATCCTCAAATGTCATGCACTTCTCAATCAACGATTTGCTTATCGGCATACTGACACCCTGCCTTGTCTCTTTTTCGCACTCAAAGCACACGAGTCGCCACCCACTCTACGTCCAATTCTTGGAGTTACTCGGTAAAACAACCTTTCCCGATCTGCACCTTGCTGTATACCGCACCGAGCTTCAGTTTCGGATTTGCATAACATCCCCCCCCCCCTCATAAGTCTCTTGCACGTACAATAATGGTCTCTCATTCGCTTAGCTATGCTCTCCAAGGGGTGATAAAGTCTCTGTCCAGTAAGGATAATGAGCTTTGTTAAACCACTAGTACCTTTCCCGCATGGGAAAATAGGGAAAGCTTGCAGTTTTTCCCGAACTCCTGAATATTAGGAGGTCGGGCCCGACGACGACTGCCATTGATAAATCTGATCGGCAGCCGTCATTTCGTTTCGGCCTCTGAAAAGGTCGGATGCCTACCCCAGGCCCGCTATTTTCCCAAGCGGCAAAGGTACTTGTGGCGTACGGCGTTGCTGGATTGTGCAAAGTGTTGTGGAAGTAATCTTGGATCTCAAGCAGAATGAACATTCCCTTCAAGGGCTGTACGCTACACGGCGAATGTACACGGACCTGCTACATGGTAGGCTTGTTAACAATGGCCTAAATGCTGTTCTTGGGGCGCATGATTATGCTTTGGTGCGGATCCCATTAGGCTAGAAGGCCAGTACAATTTTACACAAACTGTAGGAGGTCCTCATGCCGGGGAGTGGGTTATTTTACATGGCTTGGACACTCTTTCCGTGTCAGAAATAGGACAGCAGGTTTATGTTCTCAAGTACTTGTCTTTACACAACAGTTGATACTCTACGCCTTCAAGTGGCCGGTATCGTTATGGGTACGCCGGACCAGAAATTGCCGACCTCAAACTCTGCTGGGACGAAGCACAGTTTAGCGGCGAACTTCGCTCGTGAGATCTACGGTCTTAGCAAGCATATGAATTCACATATTGGTTCGTTGATGACATCCTATCATCGAAGACATCTTCACCTGGCCCCCTTCTCGGTATCGTCTCGAGTGGAAAGACACTATTGAGCAAGATGGGTCATGCCTTGGGCTAGAATGATGGTTTGGTCAGACGACTCAATTTGCGTTGATGTGTTTGATAATGTTGAGGCCTGGATATTCCCTGATGTATGCTATCGCAGTCGTTCCTCTAATGCCGCAGCTCATCAGCCCGCCGGTGTGTTCACGGGACAGCGAACAATGATCGCACATATTTGTAACAATACCACCGACTTCAAACCTGCAGTGCATTACCTGACACGGTGTGTGCTTGTTAGGGGTCGTCCTCCCAGTGTCCTGGTCAGAGGTTGAACTGCATATGTGCGTCCTCATCAGTGCCACCTACCCACTCGTGTCACACGACTTTTGAACTGGTTTCGCTGCATGGAGTGTTGGGCAATTGCTCACCCACCGCCGCACTATGTGGCACCCAAGGCCGCGGATCCTGTGGCCTAGGCCGCGGCCGAGGAGGCTGGCTGCGGGCCCGCGGCCGAAGCCGCACGGTCGTGCCACAGCCAGGCGGGGGCGCGCGCGGGGAATCGGCCCGCGCGCATGGCCTGCGCACGTCGGCCTCTAACGACCTGCACAAAAAAAAAAAAAAAAAAATGAAAATTTGAGGGGTGGTTCTTGGTTGGTAACAAAAATAATTAAAAAAATGAAAAAAATAAATAAATTCATTGATTGATTGTTTGTTTTTATTGATTGATTGGTTGATTGATTGATTGGTGGGGGAGGGGTCCTCCCTCCCCTCCCCCCTTGCACACACACACACACACACACACACACACACACACACACACGTCACACATCAATCAATCAATCAAATCAAATCAATTCAATCAATCAATCAATCAATCCAACCCTTTTTTTGTTGATTTGTTTTAAACTTTTGCATCTTCATTTTTTTTAAACACCTAATTCCCCTACAAAAAATCGAAAATCATTTCTAAAAAAAATACAGCACAACTCAGGGTCCATATCCCTCATAATAAAAGATGGAAAAAACACTTTCTGCTTTTTTTTTTTTTTTTAATAATATTTTGTTTAAATCTAGGCTACCAGAGTAGCCCGGGGTCACTTGCTCGGCCGGGCCATAAAGAAAGAAAATAATAAATTAGTTTTATATAGTTTTTAGTTTAAATTTTGTAAAGAATTTCGATGTGACCCTGAGGCAAAAGTTGTTCAGTTTATTTTTTTGCATAATATAGTTTATTTTCGTATTTTTTCGATTTTTTTTAATTTATTTTTTTCGCTGGGACCTTCCCTTGTCCTTGCACGGGCTGGCCAGCCGGGACCCGGGCGGCCCGGCTGGTAGCCTAGGTTTAAATCGAATTTTGTTTTTTATTTTTTTTTTAATTCTAAACGAAGTTGGATTCCAAAATAAAAAAACATAGGATTGTAGGGTTTTCCAAGCTCTACACCCTTATATTTTTTTATTTATTTTTTACGTATTTTTAGGGGTAAAAAAAATATATTGAAAAAACAGGCCGCGGACTGGGCCTCATCGATCGCGGCCGCGACCAACGTTTTCGGCCGCAGCGGCCGAATTGCCCGCGGCCAAGGCCGTGGGTGGAGCCGCATGCTAATTTTGCGCACATATCTTCCACACAACTACCTCATTGACAACGTCACATACAATGTTTGCCAAAGGGGGATCCGTTTATTTCCCATCCACCTAGCTTGCAACTGCTCACCCACTACCGCATACTACTTCATAGAAAGTATGTGTCTCTACTATGTGGACTATCCCCGCCATCATCGACCACTCCCTCTCATAGCATGACCCACATGCAATGTTGGGCATACACCTGCGGTAATCGTAGTCAGATCAGCTTCATCCTTGTCAGACATGCGACTAAAGTAGCCGCCTTAGGAGGAAAATAAACTATCATATGAACCACCTACAAGGCGTTGTCAGTAGGGCAAGTTGTTGCAGGTCAAATTCTGCAGCAGCTAAACACCTTGGCTTTGAATCAATCCACGTCAACGTTTGCCCATAAATAGTGAATAAATATTGGGAAAATGAATGAAACCTGCTTAACTTGAATGTCACTTTGTGATCACCCACCTCATAATTGGCTAGCGTGTGGTTTACATGCCTTATGTCATGAGCACTATGAAGGGATAACTCGTGCAAGTTTCTTTTTTCAGAACTGTAATGACATTCAATACTACACTCTCGTACAACACCTTGACATATCATGTTCAATTTATAGACAAGGGTTGAAACGACAACGTCT